ATGAATGTTTTAATTTTGGTTTGAAAACTTAGAGAATGGTATTTTTACTCTGATCTTCTTTTAAATACTGTTTTTTGATTTTTTTTAACTGAACATACATTTCATGAATATTTAGATAACATGTAAATTGATTTAGTTTTCTATATGTTCATATTAATGAAACAATTCAATAAAATAATATTTTGCAGTTTAAATTGAATTAAAACTTTCTTCAGAAGAGATTTTTTAGATAGTAGTTTGAAATAAGTTTTTTTTAATGTTCGAGAAGAAACTTGGTGTTTTCTGTAAAAGAGAGGATAATGTTTGCCTGTCTTTTTATTCCAGTTCTTTTATTTAAATTATTAGACCTTAATTTTTAATGATGAAAATGGAATAAAATGATGCTTAGGGCCTTCCTGAAGAAAAGAGACTGTTTAAGAACAGTGCAATTATTAATATAATTAATATATGATGGAATGTATTTCATATAATGATTCATTTCTAGTAAGATTTCTGTCTGTCTTCTGATATGGCGAATAGATTTTGGGGGGGAGAGAAAGGGAAGATACTGACCAAAGTTATAGCTGGTTAGATCCAAGATCTTTCTGTTGTGAAAGCCATCTTGTTGAATGTAATTGGATGTATAAACAGAGAATGGTGGGAAGAGATTGAACAGAGTGATGAGGCAGAGCATTGAGAGGTGCGGGCAGCAGCAGCCGTGGGCTTTCAAACTCAATGAACTGCTGATCTTTTCTGTCATTTGAAATGGTGTTTGAAGTCACTTTAGAGCATGAATAGGAAAAAATAAGGGCTGTTGGACCAAGCCTAAACATCACCACACTGACGAAGTGGCAAACTAAAATCATTATCAATGTCACAGAGAAACTAAAATCATTATCAATGCCCAGATGAATATACATGCCTTTGTTGGTAAGCTCATGCAGCATCTGCTCCTATTCTTTTTTACTAGGCCTGTATAAATATGCTGAATTATCTGCAAATAGTTGATGTGAAGTGATAGACATCTAAGTTTTTCAGATGCTGAGGCATCTGTATTCTATAAATGAGCAAAAGAATCACAAAAGAGGGATTTTGCTTAGAATATGGTACAGGAGTTTGGTGTAGGTTGAATTAATTTTTGAAGTGTAATTAGTTATTAATATTTTAATTACTTTCCCACTGAATTTTTTATACGTTCTTTTTTCTACTGCAACAGAGTATTTATTATAGCAGTTAAAGAAATAATCTCTAGCACCCTGCATGAAAGTATTTTGTAGGAGTAATGGTAAAACTCTAATGCTTAGTAAGTTAGACCAAGCAACATCTTTATTCCCACATCATTGTACATTAGCATGAAATTAAAAAAAGAAGTCTGAACTGACTGCTACTAAAAGCAGCAGGTTGGAAGTTTGTTTTAGGTGTATTTTATCTTTCTTCATAGCACACTAAGTCCTTCTGAGGTTCTTTATTTGCT